TAATTCGAATCCATACTATTTACGACCTCTAAATAGAAACTTCTCTATCAAAAAAAATTCATACTCAAAATTCAAATTCAAAATTTATGATTTAAGAAAAAAGAAGCTCCATCCACTAAACCATGTACATAGTTACAAATTATTATATTACTCCTAAATTGATGTTGTAAGACTTGTTTATACGTGCAACTCTAGGCATATTTCAAGGCTTTTAAATTTATTTGACCCTTTTTTTTGCATTATATTAATGGATTTGAATCTTTAATGGTGTCAAATATTTCGAGAACTTTCCAATATAATATGGTTGACTTTTCTAGAATGATCGAGTATTTTCTTGAGACTATGAAATATAAAATATAACTGACTGATTAACTTACTTCAAAATCAAACGACCCCTAAAAGTGTTCTAACATTTATGCAATTAGATTCCACGTTTTTCCTTCAAATTGATTAGTCTTTAATTTTACCTTTTAAATGAACTAGTGTTTATTTTTTGCTCTTTAGCAATTGAACTCATGTCTAATAAGATCTAAGTTCTTTAGAAATTGAAATTATGTCCGAATATAGCTTGTGAGATATTATAATATGAAAATATAAACTTTAGCGTTGTAAAAAAGTTTGATAAGTGGCAAAAATTAAGATTTAGACCTAGTTTATCTTTACAAACCTAACCAATCATATAAACTGTTGGGCCTGACTTGTGTGTTTGGTAGCCCAATTTCAAAGAAGTTTTTTGTACCACCCATTAATCCAAATGATGAGTGTGCCAAAAACTTGTGGAGAAAATTGCCACCAATTACTACCTTCATTAATAAGTTCCAAAAATGTAGAAATGCAAATCCCATCAATTGTTCTTGGCAAGCTAAACTTAAGGTAAAATTGTCGTAAGTTTATTATCAAACTTCAAATAAAAATGTCGAAAACTGAGCCTTGACAAGCCAAACTTCGGGAAAACATGTCAAAAGTTTGCTGCCAATTAGCTATAAATATGTTTCCAACTTCAGTCGCATATGCCTAAAATCGATCTCAATGAGGATAACTTTATAAATTTTTATATACTACCATCATGACTTAAATGCTTGTCCTTGAACCAATTATTTGTGCATTGAATAGTCTCCCATCAAAATAATAATCAGTAAATGCATATTTTTTGTATATTGTTCTATGATATACATAAAATATATATTTTGATACAAAATAATGTATATAAAAGCTAGCGTATGCAATTCTCTCGGCCGATCAACCAACTATGTAACTTGCCTAATACTCCCCCTATCCCAATTTATATGACTTATTTACCTTTTTAGTCAATCTAAAAAAAAATGACACATATCTATATTTAGCAACAATTTAACTTCAAAATATTCATTTTACCCTTAATGAAATGAATTATAGTTACACAAATATCTATGATTTATTTTAGACCACAAATTTCAAAAGTCTTTTCTTCTTAAACTCCGTGTCAAGTCAAACTAACTCATATGAATTGAGACGGAGGGAGTAAATAATTGGGCCTAACTTGGCTAATTGGTAGACCAATTAATGTACAACCATCCAAAATATGTCTTGCATTTTAAACCACACAAAGAAATCCATAGAGATAAAATACCAATCCACCCCATGTAAAATTGATTTGAGGCCATTGAAGAAAAATAAACACAACAAACTTTTTATTCCCCATTTATCCAAACAATGAATATCCTCAAAACTTGTGGAGAAAATTACCATCAATTAGTACCATCATTTATAAGTTCCAAATATAGAAATGCAAATGCTAATTATGTTGTTGAACCATTCAAATTTGCTTATAGAAGAAAGCAAATGCAAAGCTTAGTAGTGAGAGCAAGTAATGGTGAAAGACGTACTTTTTTGACACTAGAAGAAGCTGGCCTTGTTGAAGTGTCCGGCCTCAGCACTCATGAACGTTTTCTATGTCGATTGACGGTACGTCACGGATTTAAGTTATATACACTGATAACACGATTTGATTTTTAAAAAAACTTGTTATGGTACGTGATTTGACCAACAACGCAATTAGGATTTTCATTAACCAAGATTGAAATGAAGAAGTAAACATACAAAAAGTCAAAAAGGATTCGTCATTTACTATATTTATATGAAAATAGTTTTAACCATATCCCTTCGGCCCAACTTGGCTCCCCCAAGCCCCCCACTAGGCTTTAGAGCAATGATATAGTTGGTTTTGTGTGACATATATGTGGAAGGTGTAACACTTTAATTTGGAGGGGTGAAAAAAAAGAAGTTGAAGCAAGTAACTTTTTTTTATTTCTCGCTCAATATTTGGTATCTGAATTTATGTTCTGTAAGACCAATTTAAGAGGAAAGTGCTCCTTACTAAAAAAAAAGTTATTTTCACTGTTCGAATATGAGTAAAAGGTGATGAAATTTTATCCGTCTCACCACGTGAGGATAGTTGAAGCAAAGAATTAATATTAATACTCAAAAGAAAATTTGTGAACCAATGGAAGAAAAATAACATATGATGAGATATGTATTTGTTGAAATTACTAAAAGTAGAGTGTCATACAAGTTTTTTTTTTGTGCAGATTTCATCACTCAATTTATTAAGAGTGATAGCAGAACAAGAAGGTTGTTCAATTGAAGAATTAAATGCTGGGAAAGTATGTGATTGGTTCTTGAAAGATAAGCTTAAAAGAGAACAGAATTTGGATTCTGCTGTACTTCAATGGGATGAATCTGATTTCCAACTATAATTCTCCCTCTATGGTTCCTAATGAAAGAAATTAAAAGTATAAAAATGAACAAAACACCAATAATTCTTTTTCCTTAATAATACTCCTTGCTTTCTTTTTTTATATACTAAGGCTCATTTATTTTTAATGTCTGAATCTTCTATGCTATGTTTTCTCGTTATTTTCTTACAAAAATCTGAATGCTTCATTCTCTTTGTTTGACTTAAGTTGTGGACAATTTGTTGTTCTCTTTAAACTATAATATCGTAATTGAAAATGAGCATTAAAAATACGAAATAAAGACAGAGAATCGAATTTGAGAATATCCAAATGTGATTTGATAATTTATTGGTTGAAGAGAAAAATAATATGTTAATTGATTGATAGTTGAAAGAGATGAGGAAGAATGCAATTCCTTTGAGAAAGATAAATAAACAAAGTTTGAGTGTGTATGAGAGAAACAAAAACGTACATTCATTTGTATTAGCCCATGGATCTGACGCCTTGGAGCACCCAAAAAATTTTCTAAAAAAACTTTATAAGGTTCTTCGTAATGAGTTAGGGAAGCATTACCTATAGTCCCATCATTTTTAAATCATATTTTCGCATTTACGAGCCAACTTTTAAGTATTACTCGACTTTCTGTATTTTTTGTATGTATTAGCACATGGATTTGGCGCTTTGGAACGAGTACGTAAAAAAAATTTCTTAAAAACCTTTATGAGAACCTACGTAATAAGTTGGGGAAACATTACGTATAATCCCACCGTTTTTTTTTTAAATCTCTTGATGAAAAATCTTTTAATGAAAATTTTGATTTTGTTACTAATATTAATAAGGTAAAAATTTAGATAGCCGAGATACACTAATAAGATAGTTGGGTGTGGAGGAGAAGAAATGTTGATTTTCTTTTTTGTGGGTAAATAATATATGAATGAATGAAGAATAGTTTAATGGAAGAGATAGGGGAGGAACGTGGAATTTTTTACAAGCTAAGGATGGGAAAAAAGTATGGAACCTTTTTATCCCTGCATTCCTATCAACTCAAATAATTAGTACAAAATAAAAAATAGAAATGCATAATCAAACACTTTTTTTAAAAGGTTTTTAGTTCTGTGTTAAAGATATTCATCTACTCTTCAATGATTTGTTTATTTGATTTTTGAAGGATTAACCTAAAGCTATATATTGCTTCTATTGATGTTAGACATGTGAAGTGAAGTAAAATTTGAAAAATGTTATTTGTGTTAGCAACCTTCCTTTTGCTATCGAGGTAAAGTTCGTGTCTCCTCCCTTCGTAATCCCCTTCAAAAGAAATAGACATAACAGGGGTCAAGCCTGACTCCCAAACATCAAAGGAACTTCCTTTGATGATGGCTTTAATAAAAAAAAGGTCAATTTCTATCTAAATCCCACTCTTTATGACATTGAAGAAGAGAAACAACAAATAATCATAACAACACCTTAGTATCAAGTAAGTTGAGGCCGATTATATGAGTCCTCATTGACCATTTGCTATAGTTAAGCTTAATTTTTTTTTTATATATATATGGCCTATTATACCAAGTAATCAAACACGTGTATTACTGACTTTCTATAGAGTACATGTTAGGTGACCAAGATATGGAAGGACACAGAAGGAATCTGGTTCTTCATTAATGTCATGTGTTCATGCATATTTAAAATTAGTGTCATGTGCTCATGTATATTTAATGTAAAACACATGAGCACATGGTTGGAAATTTTTCTTTAAGTTGAAGAAAAAAAGATATTGAAAATTTTGTTCTTGTTTTTTTCTTCAACTTATTGCTTCATCCAAGTGCTTAATTTAAAAAATACATTCATCAATCCTCTTTGCGATAGGTTATTAGATAGGAGGTCATGAAAAACACGACTTAGGATAGTAAATTGTAGTGTTTTCTCGATCTCCTAATAAGTACATTGCGTCAGAACTGAGAAATTTTATGGCTAGGCTCTACAAGCCTCGAAAGCCTTTAGTACGGTAGAGTGAGCAACTCTTAAACCAAATACTAGAAGTTGTAGTATTGCTCGTATAGTTTCTGTTACTATTTGTAGTAGTTACCTGTTCAAAATGTCTTGTTATGCTTTTACGATTTCATTACTTCTTTTTTTGGACTGCTTTGGACTATTTTTCTTTGAGCCAGTGGTCTATCAAAAACAACATATCTACCTCGGGATATGTTGTTATTTCAATCCTCTATTTCTTACAAGATTACATTGCATCTCTTCACACTATTGTCCATATTGGTATTCATGCAAGAGAAGTTGATGTAAAGTCATGAATACATATTTTATTCATTTAATAACTAAACAAAATGGTACTACAAGAGACTAGACTCCTATATACAACTAATTCTTATGAGATCAGAAGGGCCAACAGAGCCCTTCAAACAAAATCCCTAAATCAACCTCTCTACAAGTACAAACAGGCCACACCATCTTCAATGAAAGTGTTGAAGAACAATGTGGCTTGTAAAGATTGTTGTGACATGTACACAAAGCAGCTGAAATTTGATAAGACCTATGATTTCTACAACAATACCTATACAGAATCCAGACCGAGACAGGCTTAAATGGAGCAACCGAACAATGAGGATCCATATGGCACCAACCCCAACTCGCTTGAGATTGAAGCATAGTTGTTGTTGTTTTTGTTGTAGTACAAATAAAGAATCTGATTTGAGATCTATACCTCTGTGTCCATTTGCATAAATAACTCCCTCCGCGGCCAATTTTCTTCACTGTCTGATGTAAACAAGGCCACGGATATGTCAGCTAGTTTCTTCCGGCTTAAACGAGCCCTCGGAAACTTCGATTGCCTAGGAGCATTAGGCACTTCAACATTATTAGACTCACTCCAATTATCTATATCAGTAGCATTCTTAAAACCAAGTGTCTTTGTTGGTGTACTATATTCAAAATGCCATCTTTTTGCAACCAAAGTCTGTTCATTCACCAAATAAACCATAGAGTTCATCAATACTTAAATCCTATCAAAAAAATATTTCAACTATAATGTAATAGCATATTCAATAACAATTAACTAATGCTTACCGCTTCTCTAATTGGTTTTGATACATGAAACAACCTCTTTAGATCATCATGTTCAACTCCACACACTATCCTTATCTGCATAATGGGAAAAAAACAACACATCTTTTTCAGTAAGCCAGTCCACTAGATAGTAAATGAATTGGGAATCCATGAATTTAAGTACAGTAAAAGGGCAGCCCGGTGCACAAAGCATCACACCTCAAGGGGTATGATGCAAACATTCTATCCTACTGTAAGCATTTCTGACTGTTTCCACGATTCGAACCCGTGATTATACTATTGCTTAAAAGAAAATTTAGATTTTTATACTAACCAGGATATCTTGAGGCAGGGCTTCAAGAGGGGACTTCACACAAGTGGAAAATGAATTCTTTCTGCATATTTTCTTTGTAGGTGTTGTTGAAATGAAATCAAGATCCCTAATATTAGGCAAACAAACTCTTTTCCTCCCAAATGAGGTACTTCTCACAAGCCCAAATCCAACATTTTCACATATCTTCTTTCCCATTGCCATTTCTCTTCAACTTTTTTCACAGAAAACACAACTGCAAAGATCTGATTTTTACACCAAAACAGAGAACAAAACAAATCAGTATCATCCAAAATCCAACCCTAAATCAATAAACTACCAAAAAAAAATTAACCTCAACTAAGCAAATGGACTAAAAACAATAAAACCAAGAAAATTTTCACTTTTCATGTCTTCCCCATTACCATTTTTTTTCAACTTTTTCACTGTCAAGATTAGATTTTTCCACCAAATTAGACAATTAAAAACAACCCCAAATGAATAAACTATAAAAAAAAACCAAAACCCAACTTCCCAAATGAACTAAACAGCAAAACCAAGAAACCCCAACAATTATTTTTCAAAAAAAATTCAATCTTTGAAATCAAGATAGTCAATTGAGTCAAATGGTAAGCAGAAAAGTATTTAAATTTTTTTGGATAACATACCTTTATACTAATAATTTGAAAATGAACACTATATCAAGACAGATCCAACAAAGCTATATCCTTTTTCACAAAACTGTACAAACAATTGGTTGAAAAAATGAGTCAAATTTGTTTATATATTCAACTGGCTAAAAGATAAGTATGTAATTTTAGATGACAAAATGGATTTTATTTATGTATATGAAAAACTAGCCGTTGGGGATGTACACGTGGCGAAATAAGAGGTGTGTAAAAAGGAAACAACATGGGTGGTTCAGGTGATTGGTCGGTCCAAGTCTGCTTGTCGGTTGGCTTTTACCTAAAACGCGTTCTGTTCTCTGTTCATAGACATATTCAACAATTCAATATAATATTTATTTCTAATGGATTCTACGCAAGTAATCGAGAGTTATTTAGCTTATTTTTTATATTAATGGTGGTAATATTGCATTAAGAGTTTTTTTATATGATTATATTTGATGTTTCTTGCACGACGATTATCATAGTATTTTGTTGTAGTGAGTAGTGACTGTTTCTTTTTAGTGTGATTTGTCATACTTTCTTTAGTGTTTTGTCTTGATTTCTTCTCTCTCGTTATTTTCCTTTGTGTAATGTTTTAAATTGAGTCTATAGTTATTGGAAATAACTTTTTTACTTCATATAGTAGGGGTAAAGTCTATATATACACAGTTACCCACCTTATAATATTACTATTTTTCATTGAAATTTCTCACCGAGAAATGTTTAGTAGTTATTCTTATAGATATTTTGATCGAATCAATAACAAAAAAATAGTAGTATTTTTACATGAATTTTTTTTAGAAAGCTTCCTAATATTTTAGCAAAAATTTGCTTCCTACGATATAATTTTTGAGTGAGTTGATTCGGCAAAAGATAAGTGACACTATCCTCTCCAGATTCAATTATGAGATTATACCGACTAAGTTATTGTATTGTTAGATTTATCTTACACAAAGTTTGAGATGAAATGGATAGTCGAGATATGACACGTAAGCAAGTGGAGTAATGGACGGTCATGATCTTTTGAATATATTCACATTATTGGTCAATTTTAGATCCTTCCAAGAAAAGTATTCTATTCAAAAATGGTGGCTCTAAATTTTAATAATGTGGATAGAAGTTTTTAAAAAGGTGACGGCTGTTTATTTTTGTTTTGTTTGGTGACGGCTGTTTCAATTTTTCACTCGTGGGGTCAATGAATATGCCACATGGTAAATAATAATATTCGTGTTAGTACTATTTTTAAATGATTATGGATTTACACTTTGTTGTGTACCTAAGGAATGACAATAGGGTAGGGCGGGTGGTTGCAGGGCAAATTCGCATAAATCCATAAAGATTTCAATCTGTCCTGCTCCGTTCTACACTAGCAAAATTTACTGATTTCAACCCGCATCACTCCGCCTGATATAAATTCACTTTGCCCTGCCTCATAAAATTTGTAAGAAGTTTCAAATACTAAAAACAATAATCTTTTAACCAAAAGAGTCAGATTTTGTTAACTGCTTATTTTTTTGTTTACCTGCTAAAATGAATAAATTTTTTTTTGATAGTTTAAATTGCTTGAATTTGAGGTAATAAACAAAATATTATATGTAACAGTTATGTAATATCGTGTTAATATTGCTTTTTTCTTCTTCTAATTTTTGGGCCATTAAAACAGATTTTCATTTCGAAGAAAAAAAGAAAATCTCAAACTGATGCAAAACTGGTACAAAAATTGATGTGAAACTCTGAAATTAAATTTTTTTTATTCATAACCCGCAATCCGCCCCGTCCCGCGTGAATTTTGAAAAATTATATTTGAACCCGCCCCGCACTACACCCACAAAAGCTCTTAAATGATGTAACCCGTCCCGTCCCTTTGCCATTCCTAAGTTTAATATATTAATATTAGTAAATTATTGAATCATACTACCAATTGTACAGGTGCTACACAGGGACAATTTTGAGTGTGTTTATGCTGCCATTGAGCAGCATTTCTTTGTGCCTTGATGACATTATATGCTCCATTTACTCTCATCAATTGTTGTAAAATGTGGTCATCAGTTAGTAACTTTTCTAACCTATTCATCCATTATTCTGTCTAATTATTCTCATAACTTATGTAACTTTTGGACTATTTATTTGCCCAATTTACTACTCATTATCTTTATATGTTCATTATAAGGAAGAATTCATCATATATAAATAGTGATGGTTTTACTTTATGAAAAGATGAAGAGATGTGCAAGAAACTATAGAGTGGTAAATATAAGGAGTACTATATGGTGTTTATATTGAGATTAGTGTAGTGAAAGAGAGAGTTGAGACAAAGAAAAATATAGGATTTCAACTATATTCACTATATAAAAGAGAGTATTTATATGTTGAAGGAAGGTGTTCTTTTTGTGGAGCTTTGGACTCTTCAACTAATCCAGAGTTACTTGAGTTGTGCGACGTTGTTGGACTGTTATATCTTGGAGTGGACAAGTCATCTGGGAAAGACAAAAAAAGAAAATTTTTTAACACAAACCTGACTTTTCAAAGGATGAGTTCCCGAAAGAACTAATCCATCTGTCTCAATTTATGTGACACTTTTCGTTTTACGAAAGACAAACATTTTAAGTTTGACCAGCAATTTAGAAATAAAATTTATATATTTATAAATTACGTAAAAAGTACTATAAGTCTCAATAATTGTCAATTCAAAATATTTAAAAGATGTATGAAAAATTTACGATAAAAGATAGACTTGTTTGAATCTCATAATTCAAAAAGTACCACATAAATTGAGACTAAGGGAATGTAATCTTTTATCACAATCTGTTTTCCATCATAATGAGCAAATTGCTGGCTACTCTGAAATGTTTGTTGTGAATAATTGGTTGTGGTCTGAGTCCCATAGTAATCACTTGAGGCATGCTTTTGCTCAAGTGATTGTATCATAATACCAACCAGAGAGCACCATTCAAGTGCAATTGTATCATAATACCAACCAGGGTACTGAGGATAAAAAACCATATGTGACGGATACCCATTGTTAAGTTGTGAGGCCTGATTCCAGTCAGTTGTGACAACACCTGCATCACTAGCAAGTGTCGCCTGATTCGAGTTAGTCACCGTCCCCCTATTGGCACTCGCTTGCATAGCCTAATTCCAGTTTGCCAGATTCTTAGTAGCATCGTTTACGTGCAAAATAGAGGATACTATGAATGCAAATTTTATTTGTATCTTGGAGATACGAAAATTAATTTTGATAGACTCTCGACATAAAAAGAAATATACTCAAACTAGTTCAAAAAAGAAAATAACAAAACTAAAGAAGTCATGATAAAATATTAAGATAGCATAACAAATGTAACACCCCAAAAATTTCTAATACAAAGACCTGAATCCTTCTATAACACCCCACAACTCTACTCTTAAAATTTGAATCGTTCGTGTAACACCTCAAACTTTGAGAAAGGCTAAAGAGGGCTAACGGGCAAGTCCACAAACTCAAAATGAACCATGGACCTTTCACAGCTCTCTATACGGACTGTTTAAGGGTCCACAGACCGTTTAGGGGTCCATGGCCCGTTTAGGGCATGGTGGCCAACCGTCCAGGGTTGCCAAGGTGAGGTCACCTGGACAGGACCCTAGACGGTCCGTGGTGGCTTGTACGGTCCATTTAGGGGGTCTGTACAAGTCACCCACCAATTTTTAAGTTGAGTCAAATTCAAACGATCATATCTCTCAGCACATAATGAATTAGGTGACCCATGACCTATCAAATTAAAGCTCTTTGAGTCCTCTTTCCTACGCCACCAAGTTTTCCTTAATTTCGAATTCAGAGTAAAATGTTATGACCATTTTAGTGAAGCCCTGTCAAGCAGATAAAGCTTCACGGTCGGTTATACGGCCCTTGAAGTGTTTCATGGGCCGTGAAGTCTTAAACAGTCCGTGAAGCCTCCCTTTTAAGGCACCTCATCAGTCCTTTAAGGTGGGGTTGTTTTGGTTTTTTCCATATATGTTTGGTACTTAAACTATGTCGTTTAAACTCCTATTCTAAGCTTAAACCACGACATTTTACACCTAATTAAGGGCTTAGAAAGTATTAATCAATTCTTTCACGTTCATTTACACTTCAAGACATTAGAACAAGGTTCCAAGAGGAGAAAAACTAGGTTTTCGAGCGTTTTTTGAGTTTCATTGATTACGCCAAGAATTTTGTTCTTCAATGTATGTAAGACTATAAGAGTGTTGGTCTAGTTCGTCCTCACGCCCTACATCTATTTTTAAATCATTGCCGCTAAAATAAGTATAGTGACAATAACTATCGCCACTTAAACCTATATAAGTCGCCACTAAAGGGTATATTTGTTGCCACAAACAAAAACATTAGTGACAACAATATCACCGCTAAAACATATATAAGTCACCACTAAGAAAGTATTAGTGGCAACTATAATCGCCGCTAAAGAGTACATTTGTTACCACTAAAAACAAGCATTAGTGACAACATTATCGCCGCTAAAACATATATAAGTCGCCACTAAAACTAAGTATTAGGGCAACTAAAATTGCCGCTACAGGGCTTATTTGTTGCCACTAAAAACAAGCATTAGTAATGCGACAACAACAATCGCCTCTAAAACCTATATAAGTCGCCACTAAATGTAGTAGTGGCAAAATTAGTCGCCACTAAAAGGTATATATGTTGCCACAAAAAGTCTGTATTAGCGGCAACTACAGTCGCCGCTAAAACATATATATTCGCCACTAAAAGCCTTTATTAGTGGCAACTACAGTCGCCGCTAAAACTTTATATGTCGCCACTAAAAGTCTGTATTAGTGGCAACTACAGTCGCCGCTAAAACATATATACGTCACCACTAAAAGTGTTATTATTAGTGGCAACTACAGTCGCTGCTAAAACATATATACGTCGCCACTAAAAGTCTTATTAGTAGTGGCAACTACAGTCGCCGCCAAAACATATATATGTCGCCACTAA